GACAATCATGGGAGAATTCACATCTGAGAAACTGTAATTCTGTAGAAGACTTGTGTTTTCCTTTCTAGGGAAGAATCAGAGAGTAGGCTCTGAAACACAGAGATGAATGACTTTCATCAGGAGGCATGGTTCAAGACTTCGTTACTTGACATGGACTTCGGTTTGACTGCAGTGTACCCCATTCTTGCATATATTTCTTCCTCCATTTTGATTGTCTGAAGTACAAAGACCTCAGAATAACTAAGTCATAATTTTTGTAATTGTTTTTCTGGTCCTCACAGCAACAAGCATGGCTTGTTACCACATAATCTGGTTTCAGTACTTCAGATCTGATTCCCAGAGGGACAGCAAAAATGAAGTGGCTGATGCAATGTAGGAGGGATGAATCACAGCTTGTTTAATAAACACATCTCTGTTGGTGGGACAGAGAGCTTGGAGGGGAGTGTAGAGGGAAAGAGCAGCTGCAGGTCCTTTTAGACCTCTTCAGCAAAAAAACTTGTTCAGACTTTAACATAGGATTTTTCATTAAGCACTTGAAATGAAGTAATGCTCTTAATTGCGGCTTTTTCAGTTGGCAATGCCATCTGCTGGGAGAACTTTTACACTGTCACAGGAGACAGGCATTTAAGTGAGGTGTGCACCTTCAAGGTTATTCCCCTACAGCCAACTTGACAACAGAACTCAAAAGGATTCAGCTGTAGGGTCAGAGCAGGGGCATTCTTCCTCTCTATTGTTCCATGGTCAGGCAGGAATGAAACCAGTGAAACCATTGTGGTTTGGGAGCTTCTGTCTTCACTGAGTCATGTGGTCATGCCACAGTTCATTGCCTACAATAGATACATGAAGAAAAAGTAAGTGGCCTCTGCTAAGGTGGCAATGCCCAACTTTTGGGGTGGGGCATACTATCCGTCTTAGAGTATATCTGTACTGGGTTCTTTCCTGTCAAATAACTGAATGTGACACAATTCATACATAGTAGGATAGACACATGCCACAGGTGCCAACCTTACTGCCCATATGCTATGCACACAGATATAAATACACTGCTGCCTGCACACTTGTTAAAGAGGTTTCTAGAGAGGGAAGGTGGATGTAGACTGTCATCACTGTGATGAGTCACAGAAACCCTGCTGGACCAATGTCTTTCCTTAGGGTCTCTCACAAACAGACACAGCAGGCTACCAGCCAGCCAGGTGGTGGTGATAGACCATTCCTCATGGCTATACTCCTTAGAGACCCCACAGTGCTTTTCTTTCTGTGACTGGGGGATATCTATAGTCCAGATAGATAAGAACACATATCAGAAAACCCTGAGTTAGCCAATGAGCTTTTGACAATGAGCTGAAGAGGTTTGAAGTCACCTTACAGCAAAATAAGTCAGAATTCACCAGAGAACAGTTGAGAAACATACAGCTTTCTCAGCACCAAGGCCAAAGAGATATTTGTCTGTCAGTATATAGAGGGTTCCCACAATAATTCTAGTATTTGGTGCAGGCATTCTTGTACAGAGCATGGATATATGCCTGACAACAGCATCTCCCCCTGCTTTTTTTCTGCCTTTTGGAGATGTGAATGATCACATCTATGGAAATTAGCTGCATAATTGCATTACTACACCTGGTTGATTTACATTGTTTCCTTCATACTTTTGTTAACTGTGAATTAAAGCAGGGAGGATATGGTCTTGTCTGTATGGATTCACATACTCCTTATCTCATGGCTACTGCAGTTATGTTCAGTTTCACTGAAGATGAAATCTGAATTCTCATGAAATTAATTGTTTTGCTGTTTATTAGAGTAGCAAACCAGGCAAGTATGAAGTTAAATTAATCACTCATCTTCATTAGTTATTATCAGGAGAAAAACTGATGTTAGTTTTTATATTTTTTGAAGTGCTTTGTTTCAAGGTTGAACTTGTTTAGAAAACAGGTTGAGTGCTGAGGACCATATGGATACATCCAGCACTGGATCACACAGGCCTCCTGCTACAGAGTTCTCCTGGAGTCAACAAAGAAAGAACAGAAAATAAAATCTGGCCTCTATTAGCTGAGTCTGACTTAATAGCTTAAAGTTATCCTTCTGAATTATAACAGAGTAGCCAGACAAAAAGGATTAAAGTTAGACAAAAGTGTATATGATCAGAAGTAAGATTTTCAGAGACCCAATAAATATGCTCGTAATGACCTGGTACAAAAATCTATTTTCCAGACAATATATACTTTCAAATACTAAGAAAAAAAAAATAATCACTGGAAAATATGTAGGTAACAGAAGAATTTGATACATTTCAGACATACAATATTTCAGAATCAACTTTAATCTTTGAAGATTTAAGAAATGAGGTAATCCACTCCATTCCCTTGGCTTCCCTTAGTCATAATGATGTATATAACATACACACTGAGTTTTTAGATAATCTCAAAAATCACTTACAAATCTAAGAACCAGATTCCACCTTCAAACATTCACACAACTACCAATGAGCTGAATTCCCAATGACTCTGCTCAGAATGCACTGAACTAAGTTCAGCTTAATTTAGACTGCAGCCCTGAAACAAATTTGCATGAAAAAAAATCAAGTTCTGAACAGAAGTTGAGAGAAGCCAATTGTAGAATATTTTCCTGTGGCTAGAGATGCAGAACACGAACATTTTCAGAAAACAGAAAGAGGCAGACTAAGAATAGGATCAGAGGCATTTGCCAGAAACACTTTGTAGGGTGACTCCATTTAAAATAGAAGACTAAAGATAACTTTGTTAATGGATATCATATAATGACATTTTGTGGTTCAGTATACCCAGATGAGATAAAACTGGTGTGCCTCTGCCATAGACACACATGGTACTGTCATTGCTGCTCTTTATTTTGAACTAATGACCCAAAGCCAAGAACAGTATCCTCTCTTATGCCAGCAGGCATTAAGGACTCCAATCAGCCACTAGAACTAGCTGGACTGATGTCATGTTCTTGCTCTTCCTCACTGCACTTCCTAGGAAAACCTAGGCAGATTCTTCAGGGTGTGTTGCCATCTGAAGGCTTGAATTATTTCTTCCTGGCTTTTAATACAGACACTTCTGGCCCATGGCCTAAGATGCTAATTTCAGACATCAAGGATATGTTTGCTCTTTGCTCCACTTGCTTCAGATTCTGTTGGAAAAGACGAGGGGCCATAACCTGCTGGTGAGATGCTCTGCAGAGAAAGACCTGGGGGTCATGGTGGATGACAGGTAGGCCATGACCCAGCTGTGTGCTCTGGCAGCCAGGACAGCCAATGGCATCCTGGGGTGCATTAAAAGAAGTGTGGTCAGCAGATCAAGTAGGTGATCTTCCCCCTCTACTCTGCCCTGGTCAGGCCTCACCTGGAGTATTGTATCCAGTTCTGGACTCCCCAGTACAAAAAGACAGGGATCTCCTGGAGAGAGTCCAGTGGAGGGCCACAAAGATGATAAAGCGCCTTGAGCATCTCCCTTATGAGGAAAGGCTGAGTGAACTGGGTCTATTCAGCCTTGGGAAAAGAAGGCTCAGAGGCGATCTTATTAATGATTATATTCATCTTCAGTGTGGGAGTCAAAGGGACATGGCCAACTTCTTTTCAGCAATCTGTGGGGACAGGACAAAGGGAAATGGCCATACACTTGAGCACAGGAAATTCTGAACCAATATGTGAAGAAACTTCTTCACAGTAATGGTGACAGAGCACTGGAACAGGCTGCCCAGGGTTGTTGTGGATTTTCCTTCTCTGGAGATTTTCAAGACTCACCTGGACACCTACATGTGCAGTCTGCTGTAGGGGACCTGCTTGCAGAGGCATTGGACTCAAAGATCTCTGGAGGTCCTTCCAACCCCTACAATGCTGTGACTCTGTGATTCTATGATAAGCTTTGCTAAGGAATGAGAGAAAGAAGAAGGGGAACGAGAATGGAAGCAAGAAATTGAAACAAAACTTAAAGAAAAAAAGACTTCTAAAAGGCAACAGTGTAGAAAAGAATAAGTAAAGAAGTACATGTGATTATTTTCATTTCCCTTCACCCCATCACTGGAGGTACACTCACACCACATTTAAATGCTGATTGTCTTTACAAGCTGCTCTAAGACCTGGCTCTGAGCACAGGGATCTCTTGTACCCACCTTTTCGATTTCACATTGCTACAACGATGCAGAGAAGCATCATGTAAACAAGAGCTAATGTCCATGACCATACCTTACTTTCCATAATTCTGCAGTTTCTTTGCACACACATACTAATCCTGTACTAGAATTTGGATGGCACACTGTACACAGTCAGCCAAGAAACACAGGTACTTTTTGAACTAGAGTGATGAGAGTTTACCTTTCCATGGCTGACTGTCCAACAAAGCAATGGTGACCTGACATAAAGAAAACATACACAACTGTCAATTGCAGTGAAAGATTGGTATAAATGCCACTGATTACGTTAGTCTAGTAAAGGCTTCAGGTCATCACACTTCATTTTTCTAAAGGCTCAGCAATCTCCAAAGAGGACAAGGATACACAAGTATCTAATACTGAAAAAAAAACCCAAAAACCAACAGCTGTTTCTCCATATCTTCCTGTTATCCCTGTGCAAAGCCAGAAAGGAAATGTGTACTGATACACAGCTTCTCACAATCTAGACATACTTACACTGTAAGTAACATCATGCAACCAATCAGCTTTCTTTGCCTAGACTAAACATGTCAAATCTTACTGGCTATATCCAGGCATCAAAGATTGTAGCAGAGCTTCTGTATGTGAACACAGTGCGGATATGGCTCAGTATTTGAAATCTAATGAAAATATTCTGATCCGTTCACTAAAAATGTTTAGGCAAGAAAAGGTCAGTATATTTCAGTGCATAATCTCCAGAAGGCTTAAAAATAGCAATGTAGATAACATACCTAAGTGGGTATAAGGAAAAGGAAACAAAGTTTTATGGTTTGAACAAAGAGCTGATGAACATAATTACTGTACTTAATAGGAAAAATATTCTAAACAAAGAGAAACATTTTTTTTTCCGCAGAGAAAATAATGTTTTTATTTAACAAATATACTGGAAAAATTATTTTCCCATAAAGACATACAGATATGCCCCATAAATTTTCCATTCTCTCACATAGCTATGATTTCTTGAAATCAGTTTAATGAACAGAAGGGGATATATGTGGAGATGTCAAACTTATTTTTGCTGTAAACCACATGACTCCATTTACCTCTAATCCCCAGATAATTGATCAAGGGGCCACGAAGAGCTTGCAGAACCCTTCCTGGTGCTTTATAGAGAACAGATCGTTCACATTATTTTCACTGTCCTCTGCTTCTAGCCATGTGAAAAGAAAAAAAGACACTAAATACTTCCATAATACCTCTTCTTCCCTACTGGCAATTGTTGAGGTTACCACAGGATTGCTTTGGCTTTTGTATTTTTACAAGTGCATGTAGAAGAATATTATTTCTCTACTAAGATGCACTTCAAACAATAGAAAACTTTCGTGAAACCCAGTCTTGAAAAACTGAGAACAGACCCCACAACATTCATCTTTCTGCAGTCAACTCTTGACTGAAAAAAGTTTATTTTGTTGTTTTGGTTTTTGTTTTCTTTATTTTTTTTTTCCTGAGAATTGTCTTCCTTTGTACTTTAAACCAGCTCCTTTTTCTCCTCCTTCTGTCACTGCCTACTAAACATTGTGATGCTCACTGGTAGGTACTGACAGGACTGACACCTCCAACCATGCCAGACTGTAAAGCATGGGAGAGATGACATGATGGAAGTGTCTGAAATAATTATACAGGAGTGTCCCACAATTAAATATTCTTTGGTTTGGCAGAGAGAAACGGCATCTGCTGCCAAGATCTGCCCTGCATACTTGTGAGTGAATAACCTTTCCTTAAGAGAATGTCCACAAACATTCACAGCAGCCTGGAAATGAAAAGTCACTACATGTAAATCCAATTCCGTATTAAAAAAAACCAAACCCTTAGAAACACAAACCTTAAGAGGGCTCTTCTCACAAAAAAAAATAATTAATTACAGCTTTGCATTACTGAACTCTGAAGAACAAAGCATAACGTTTCCTCAGATGTGAGGCCCAACTCAAAATTCAAAGGAGGAGTACTTACTAAGTACTTAGTTTTCTGAGAAATTCATTGCCTGCCTGATTTGTCAATTCTTTCTGGTCTGAAACCAGTATTTCCCCAGCTGTTTTTGGAATGTTTCAGAAAGAAAAGAACATAAACTTTGGCCCTATTAGGGTTAATGCTTTTGCATAGACATATATGACCATAAATTGGTCAACTAGTAGAGCTCTTCTGCTAACATTGTGACTGAGAACAGGAAGAATACAGCCACAATAATACACAGCTATCTACTAAAAGTATTGCATACAGACATCTTTGGCCATGCAGTCTCTTGGCCTTCTGAAAGTATGTGAGCTGCATTGCTAACATGACAAAAAAAATAGCAATGTTGAGAATTAGAAAGAGGCGAGTATAAGAAGCTGATATTGATGGGGCACTACTTCGAGTGGTTGCCACCAACTGTGCCAGCCCTGATCGGCCCTTGATTGAAACTCCAGTTTTGTGCTTCACATAAGTGACATCTGCAAAATCCAGAAGATCTTTCATTTCCTCATCTTCATCAACAGGCAACTCTTTTTGTGCTTGAGTCTGTGCCTTCTGTCGCACTTTTCTTTCATTTACCTCAATTTGTGCAAAAATGTCAGGAACAGCATCAACGAATTTGTAACCTTTGGATAGTTTTCTATTTTTCTTTGCTCTTCCACGCTGCTGCTGCTGCCTCTGTGAGATTGCAAATATTCTATCAATGGCCTCTTCTGTCTGTCTCTTATCTGAAAATCTCAACAGGCGTTCAGCAGTCTTCCTAAAGCTAGCTGTGTTTCGTACACGAGACAAGATCTGCTTTTCAAGCTGCTGGAAAACAGGCTTAAAATGCTGCAGGTTCCTCTCCACAATCCCAATGTAGTCCTTCACTTCTGGCACTGCAAAGTTCCTAATGGCAGACGTTCGGTCAAAGACAATTTTCTGACGGCCTGCAGTAATCTGTGCAAAGGCAGAACGAGGCCCATCCTCCACTGTCCACAGGTAAACTGCATAGGAGTGCTCATTGGTGGTGACAAAAACATCCAGCTGCCGAGAGTCGGCACGGACAGTGAAGCTTTGCACATCGATGGAGGGCCCAATGAACAAGTAAATGGCTCTGGTGATGGGGTGCCGCAGGAGGGTCGTTACATTCACATAGTTTGTTCCATTATAAGGGTAGCCCCGGGGATACATTCTTGAGGCAATGGTAGCTTTCTCGCTGTGGCCAGTGTCATCCATCCAGTACATCTTATATATTCCATCACGATGTCTAATGAATGCCCCATGAATCTCATCGACAACTGTTTCTTCAAAAGGCACATCCACATTGTGGAAGAAACTGGTTGCTGCCTCCAGAGGGCTGTCATCTTCTAGGTGAATTTGGTCCACCAGCAACAAAAGTTGAGGATGAAGAAGTATGAGGTTTCTTTGCAATTTTCTCAGCTTCAGTTTAGGATTGTATGCCCCCACTCCTTCTCCCCTGATAAAAACCACACCGCTTCTCTCCATGGCAGCAACCACTCGTCCCTGGCAGTCACCAGCCAAATCATGTTTATATTTAAGCCATTTCGAAGAACAGTCCTCTGTAATCTGCCCTTCCCATGGGGAGAAGCAGCTCTTGGACACAGCAGGGGAAAACATCAATACATTATTAAAAAAAGTATATTTTGGCCCATACAGAGCTTCTGTAATGAAAGGTACGCCATTGGGAGCAAAAGTAAAGGAGTTCTGGTCTGGGTGTTCATGGCCAGCGTTAAAGTTCCTCCATCCCTTGATCCACTCTTTGTACTTGTTCTTATGAACAATATCATATATTGCACGTCCTCCCAGCTTTCCTGACTTGAAGGAAAGGAAAGGCCTGTTGATTTCAGCTGGCAAAGCACTTCCGTAGGTTACCACTCCCCAGTCCTCAAAGTAATGCAGCTTTGGAACCCCAAAGTCTGGCGGAGGGATGGAGCGCAAACTTGCATCATACCTGCCAAAATGATGAGGGAAATTGTTTAAAAATCACTTGACTAATTTCACTATCAGCACCTACACAAAATTCAAAAAACAATTCATTACTCGTATCAAAGAACAACCTAACAATATAAAGCCCACCAATGTCATTCCTGAGCAAAAAAAAGCCTATAGTTGTAATGATCTTTATGCTACTAATCCCTAAGTAAATTTGAAGGAGTAGGCTTTTTATAGAATAATAACTGAAAGTATCTACTCCACACTTACAAGTAATCTTTTTGCAGTCCAGAAATTAGAGTATGGTGAACTTATCGCAAATAAGCCACATTTTGTTTTGTATCATAAAGATACTGACTTCAACATAAATACTTTAAAAGGCACATTAGGAACAGGTTGTAGGTACTGTTTTGCATTGGACATCAGCATTTGCAGCTATTTGCTTGCTACCTAACCAAAAGAGTCAAAAAGAGCATCTGTTTCCCCCAAACTGATGACCATAGGAAGTCTGTAGCCTCCAAACAGAATTGGGAATAAATTAAAAATTAATAAAAAAGCATTTTAGATGACACATTTATATGATTTATATAATTTAATTTACATCACTATATTAGTTTCCTTTTCCAGCTATGCTGAAAAAGAAATTTAAAGGTTTCTTGTGTAAATTGCAAGACAGAATATATCTGGTTTAAAAGGTCTTAATTCCTAAAAAAAAATTATAATGCTTATAATTTTTTTTGTTTGATTCACAGAAATTAAAAGAACTCACCCCCAAAAAGTACATGAAACAAAGTCCAACATTATTTTTAAGTAAGCAAAACCATTATTCAACTCAATAGTATTTTATTAGATGGTCTCTCATCAGAATTATTTTCTACAGTTAACGAGGAGCTCCATCAAGCCTTTAGCCGACCTCAGCTCATGTGTGGCAAAGGCTTCACAGTAGAGCTCAGGTCTTTATTCTGTAGTTAGCGTTCTTTGACAGAGATCCTCCTAAAAGCAAACCTTTTTTCCTAAGACTCCAATGCAAGTGGATGTGCTCATCAAAGGAGCAACAATGCAGCACAAGGAAAAGGTAGCTGTTGGGATATTCAGAGTTTTTTTTAGTGTGGGCTTTTTTTTGTTTGTTTGTTTTAATTGTGTATGTTTGGTTTTTTGTCTTTTTTGTTTTGTTTTGACCCACATGCTCTTAAAAATGTCTTTCCCTTTAGCATCAGGAAGAAATCGTAGGTATAAATTTCCAAGATTTCCACAGACAAACAAAAAAAGAAAATGTATGACAGTGGTCACAAAGGAAAGACTCTCTATTTTGCAAATAACAAGCTGAAATGTGCTATGAGCCTGGAAAAAAAATTAATATGCATAACATAAACGTAAACCAATACCAATAATACCAATTCAATAATATTTCTCTTCTAAGAAAGAGAAATAGAGCTATATTGAATCCTCAGAAATGTGTTTTTTTCTACGAACTGAGAGAATTTATATGTACATTTGTATGTACAACTTGGATCATACTTCTTACGTTCTGTAGACTGCCAAAGAAGTTAGAAGAGGTGTAAATAACATGGAAGATATGGATCTAGTAATGTATCATTTTTTTTTTCCTAAATTTGGCCTGCAAATTAGTGTGGTCACACAACTAATAATAACACTATCTTTTACATTACTTCAGCTTTTCAAACAACATTTATATTAGGACTTAGAGTTTTTAAAACACAACTACACTTTAAATATCTGCCTAATTAATCACTAAAAAAACATAATGGAATTAAACATCAGAATAGAGCAGATAAACCAAAGAATATGTGCAGGGATGTTTCCTTTTATAACTGCAACAGACAACGGGAGGAAAACACAAAAGCACACACAGATAAGACTAAAGCATAATCTGTAGCAATGCGCACTGAACATCTAACGCTAAGAAGTTCTTCTGAGCCTAAAAACTCTGTCCTACACATGGCAAGAATAACATAATCTCTGCCTTTGCAGAACAAACCAAAAAATAACATCTTATCACAAATGGCAAGCAGCCATCCAGTCCTTTTTGAGCCCACTCATTTCCTTTCATACCAGAGAAATTCAGTGTGGAGAGTGCACCACCTCTGCCCTTTGGATGGAGTCCCCGGGCCCTCCACCACCCGATTCCTCCTGATCTGGTCTGCCAACCAGTTCCCGCTGCCATTGCGCATGACGAATTTGTCGAGAAACACCAGCTGGCTCTCTGGCCCATAGAACCAGTTGTAATTGGAGTCTGCAATGGCCACAGTCCTCTGAAACCCTTGGGAAAAAGTTAAAAGGAATGTGAGAAAGAACAAATAAACACGGATATGTTTGTAGAGCATGAAGATGAAGCCAAGCGGTACAAACAGACACAAACAGAAGCTGCCTTTTATGATGTTTATACTCATAAATGAGCCTTAAGTTACACAGGAGCTGTTTGCTTCTGCTGCAGATAACTTGAATAGTCACCTTTCTTCTTTGGCTACAGGCAACAATCAGTCAAAATGCTACAAAAATATAAAAGGAATGTCCCATTCACTTCTCACTAAGATCTTGCAACTTTCACTCCTCCTCTGTCAATCCAAACTCTTCAAAATCCAAACAAAAGAAAGGTTCTCTCCCAGTAAAAAAAACAAACCAAACCAAAAACCCCAACCCAACTTTCATCCTGAAATAACTACAATGAGTTTCTTTTGCTCTTTAGGAACCTCTTCCCAGTATATGGCATAGCCTGGATTCAGTGCAGTTCCTTATCTGCGCTGGCATGCTAAAGCAGCAATCACTGTCCTCATAAAATTTTTAATACATATTAAGTTATCATATTATATTTTTAAAGAGGAGTTTAAACAATATAAGCTCCCAAAGAATTGTCCTATGAATAAACAGCACAAAATCATCACTGAGAACTTTCAAGGCTACCCAAAACTGAATCCTATCTGAAAGTTACAAGGAGCTGTGAATATTTATTAGATTATACTGTATTTATAGATCTCCATCTTTTAGTCAAAATTAGGATTTCCTATCAGAGATGCAGAACACACTGTGTGACAGTGGATTCAGCAGAAACAGTCTGCAAAACTGACCCACCAGAGGTGCCCAGTATTTCTGTTTCTCACACTGACAAAAGAAAATAGTTCATACGCCCGACTGATCTGAGAAATCTACAAGTTGAGTCAATTACATTTTCTGTATGAAAAAGATCTTGAAAAAGAAAAGGTTATAAAAGTGGATTTCAACATATTGTGGGAAACTGTGTGCTATTCAGTAAATAAAGGGGACCTACAGGAAAGAAGGGGACAGACCTTTAGGAGGGTCGCTTGGGATAGGACAAGGGGAAATGATTTCAAAATCAAAAAGGATACATTTAGGCTGGATACAAGGAAAAAGTCTTTTACAGTGAGGGTAGTGAGGCACTGGAACAGATTATTCAGAAGTGGTGGATGACCTGTCTCTGGAGACATTCAAGGTCAGCTGGACCAGGCTATGAGCAACCTGACCTAGCTGTAGGTGTCCCTGTTCAGTGCTGGGAAGCTGAACTAGACAACATTTAAAGGTCCCTTCCAACTCTAAGGATTCTATGATCCTATGTAAAAATTCTCTGCACTTCCTTGATACTTTCAACTTAGCTTCATGATTTGTTGTTCATTTCATCTAATATTTTTGTGTGATCGCTTTTCCTTTTGGCAAAGAAAAAAAAAATCAGTAAGAATCTCAGTGAATATTATTTATCTAACAGAAAGCCCCAGAACCAGCTCTATGTCAAACTCTGAAAACCAGAAATCAAATTCTAAAGCACTGCTTTTTCTCTCAAGTAACATTCTTGTGTTCCTCCTGGTTCTAAAAAACAGTTTAATGAACAACAGTGTTTAATAAGCAGCGATAAACAATAATGTCATTGTTTCCATGGATGATGAAAATAGAAGTGAGAGAATAAAGTTATTTCAAATGTTCAAGTACAAGGTTACTTGAAAATGGCACACTTCAAGTATAAAATTGCTTCAAGAATTGGAAGATGAATTTTCATTGGTCCAAAAGACCTACCTGGCAGGACAGTCCTGTACATAAATGCAAAGTGCTGCTTGAGCCAGGGGTGGTTGAAGTGATTGATATCAAAGTGCCTTTGGACAAGAAACATGTACTGAAACAGTGACCTGGTTGTGTAGCTGCCATAAGCCACCCCTTCATAGAGGGAGCCATCTGTGACCTCCTGCAGCAGGACTACTGACTTTTCCATGATTGCCAATACTTGCTTGGTCCATAAGTAAGCTTCCTGAAGGTAGCCTGAAAGAAAAGAGGTGTTAGAAAGTCTGGTCACAACACTGTAAATCATAGATGACATCACTTGTATTCACACAGTGAGATCCTTCATAGCAATGAATCCATAAGGAAAGCAGCTAGATCTGTAAAATATGATCCATCACTGCAGCATCCCTGTGGTTCTAGGGTAAAAGATAAAATGCTACACTTAAACACAGTAGAGCAAAGTTACCTGAGTAGACAGAAAACTATTTTAGAAAACACCTTTTTACTTTTGTGGGATTATGCGATCCACCCTGATGGGAAAAAGTACTTAATGCATTAGAACATGTAAGAACAGAAGAGTCAGAACAACACCATTTACTGCATTTCAAATTAGTATGAAAACAATTTTACAGCCCCCACTAGAGGGCTCTAATAAAGCAAGTATTCTTATCAGTCATTTTTCACCAGTACAATCACCAGCGCAGTGAAAGATTCTCAAGAGTTTATAAAAAGCTGACACTTGAACTACAATATGCTCTATTTTAAGATATGCTATATTCCACTTATGTTTTCAATGTCTAAAGAGTTATCCAAAATAGAAGTTCCTTTGGAAAAAATTTGCATGGTTTATTACAAATGCAGATTCTTCATTTCTTTAACTTCCGACTAAGTTCCAGCCTTCATATACACAAGCTCTAAACAGTTATATTTCTTCTAAGGAAAGACTTCTAGAGATCTTACTATTTTGATCTGCTCCACACAAAATATGAGTTGGGAAGAAGTTGTTTGAAGTCCTTCTCAGGACTTAGCTGCCTTCACCATGGAGTAACTACAGGCACGAGATCCCCAGCAGCGCCTGTATAGACTGCAGAAGGAAGGCAATGTGTGGATCCCAGCAGACAAAAGACTGCATGCTTTCTCTTATTCTCTTCTAGATCCACTAACAACAGAGGTAGGACTAAAAAGAAAACAATTACCTTGTATGTCTGTATGGCTACCTAGTGTCTGTGCAGTTCAGAGTGTCTGGGCATAGATTTAACCCGAATTCTTTCCACTGTATAGTAGAGCTCAACTTTAGGTCAGCTGGCATGCATTACATCCCACGTTACTTGGTGAAAAAGTGCCTGCTGAATGAAGTGCATGTGCCAGGCTGAGGGAGCATGAGCTACATTCAAACCTGCTACCAAGAATGTTTTGCTTTATTGCCACAAATACCGTATTTATGCTCAGCAGAGTGATGAGCAATTCAGACTTCCTACCAGCCAAGGCTGCCAAATCCTACTCAGTTAACAGAGAGGAAAAAATTGTGAAATCTAAATTAAACAGACAACCTGATTTAGGCTGAAGAGAGAAACATGACCGGGATGGCCTGAGCAGGAGGAGTGGGCCGCACTACTGAGTTCTACCTCCTTGCTCACAGCTGGTGTGACACTGCTTCCTCACACTGATAGAGCAGGGCACCACAGCAGTCCATCCAAACACAACCCCAACTACTTCCACCCTCATTTTTCATTGTGACATTACAGCCATACCAGTTAGTTTTGGACACTGCCCTAACAAGAATGGTGTTTTCCATGGCTCAGTGTAGTGCATTCACTGTTGCGCATTAGCACATATGTTCTGTTAACTGATGTAATATTGATGCTATAAATCTACTCACACATGTACCTTAATGATATAATGACACATTTGAATAATAAAAAATGGAAGAAACACTCTGTCAGGCTACACGAAAAAAACCCTCCAGAATAAATCTCACATGCAATGAACAGCAAGTATGTCAAATTAAGCCTTACTCATGTCTCTTTATGGAGTATCTGAGAGTATTTTAATTGAAAGACTGTATGTGGGTACCTAGAAATTATTCCAGTTAGTTTTATTTTTCTGTCCTATGACAATGTTTACATGACTTTATGGTGGCTATTTAGTCTCTGCCTACTTCATTAGCTGAACACCATGTTTAAGATTTTTAAGTGAAGTTTAAACCTTTCGGAAGAAATGCTTACACTGGGATACACTATTTGCAATTGCTTCCAATCTGATACAGGTATAATTTGTTTATTCCATCCTTCACCTTTTTTTTCCCCTTCAGAAAAAGTCTTTCATGTCAGAATGAGAATTTTTTTTGTTAAATGAAGTTGCTCTGCATTGAGATCAATTAAACTTTCAGTTAGAAACACACAGTCTGGATGTATTGAGTGATTTTCATTTGAAATATTCACAGTACTTGCTCAAGTGTTGCTTATTTTGCTTTTTTTTTTTTTCTTTCTCTCCAAAAAAAGATATGAAGTTTGCTGAAAGAAATATTACCCAACTGTATTTGTGATGTTACCATTGTTTGGCACAAAGCATACTTCTGGTCCATACTCTAATGAAAAGCAGAGTCCTCTTGCAAACTGCCAGCTTTCTGCAACAACGGAGGATTAGGGAAGGATGGAATTGTGAGGAATTTAGCAAAACCCACTGAATAAACATGGTCTTAGTCTTTAATTTGTGGAAGGCATAGTACGAAGAAAGGGAATAGTTTCCATGCATACCCTTGCTGGTTTTGAGCATATGCACATTAGTGAACACACTTGCTATGACAAGCTCTTAAGAAAAAACTGACCCCCAAACACAGTAAGTGTCACATTTTTCTGGCACACATTCTTTGGATGTCTGAAAGTTCCAACTATGTGCAGATGTGCCCTTGCTTGGCAGGATTAAACAGCTCAGTAACACCATCAGCATCCAGAAACTAGATTTTTTTCTTGACTTGTGGCACTGAGATTTCAAAATACGTCTAGCACATTTTAAATAAGATCTTGATAAAATACTGACACAGTTTTATAAGCTAGAGCTGGCCACGTGACCTCCACTTCTCAGCCTAAGTACTATAGGGGTTTACTATAGGATTGCTTTGCCTGCTCTTTCCATGACTTGCACTCTCCTTCAGAGTGGACATAGCTCAAAGGGAAAAAGGTAAAGATTTGCTCATCTCCTTAGCAAAAGATGCTGAAAAGATAGGTCCTGAGCTGCGGCCCACAGGTGGATCAAGTTCCAGCTTGGCAATCCTCTCAGGGAAACAAGACTGAAGTGCTATAGCCTAACTGAAAGTTTGGGGCCCAGGGCATTTCTGACTGCTGACCTTGATGCAGACCAATGCCAGACTGTCTGCAGGCATTAGAACAAGCCCCAAACTGATAATCTACCCTAAAAGACTGCCTGCAAATCTGAACTGGTACTAGTACACATGAGGGAACTGTCAATTCTTAGTAACGGTGAGGCAGAAATACAAAATTAGTTAGGCAGCTACTTATATATTTATCATATACATATACTCATATGATCAGGGGACTGGAGCACCTCCCCTATGAAGACAGGCTGAGGGAGCTGGGCTTGTTCAGCCTGGAGAAAAGAAGGCTGCAGGGAGACTTCATTGCAGCCTTTCAGTACCTAAGGGGAATCTATAAACAGGAGGGGATCAATTCCTTGAAAGGATAGATAACAGCAGGACAAGGGGAAATGGTTTTAAGCTGAGGAAGGGAAGATTTAGGTTGGATGCCAGGGGGAAGTTCTTTACAGAGAGAGTGGTGAGGTGCTGGAACAGGCTGCCCAGAGAGGTTGTGGATGCCCCATCCCTGGAGGTGTTCAAGGCCAGGTTGGATGGGGCCCTGAGTAACCTGGTCTGGTATTAAATGGGGAGGTTAGTGGCCCTGCCTGTGGCAGAGGGGTTGGAGATCCATGATCCTCAAGGTCCCTTCCAATGCAGGCCATTCTGTGATTCTGTGATTATATATTCTCTGATATAGTGCATTTATATCATAACCTGTACATCTGCCCACAGATTATTGTTCTATTCAATAAATACATTTTTTCTAAGCAGCATAAGAGCAAACCCAATGCAATGGAGCTCTCAAAACACATAAAGCACAACACCTTTGCAGCTGGCTGCCATATAGGCAGAGTACTTAATATGGAAAACCGCAGAAAAAACATTTATATCAGTTCCTGCATGTTACTCCATAAATGGGCAATTGAGCTGATATGCTGTAGAAAAGCATTCCTATGGTTTAGCACATACCTTGATTCATCAGAACCAGGCTTCCAGCCAGCAGGGCCACACAGTTGGTAGGCTGGTGGTTATGGAGATACTGGAAACCCCATCCTCGTCTGTATGATGTTTCGTACATATATCCCGAAGCATTGGCAATTACCTCAAGAAATCTCTCCTGTTGAGTCTTGCTAAGATAGCTGTACAAGAAGTCATAAGCTGTGGCAAAGCCAACTAAGGAGTGAGCCAGAGGGACCTCATCCCATGGGGCATCCTTCACCAGCCTGTCAAAAAAAAAGATACCAATTAATTGAGTTTCATCTACTCATTTTTCTCTATGAATATACTTAAAGGTGTGTATAACTTAACATCTCCAAAGTTAGGCAATGGATGCTGAATTTAATGTGGTACTAAAATACTTACCAAGTCTTTGAGAGCATTCTATACTGTCCTAAGTATGGATAATATTAACCTTCAAATCTCATTAATTTTACTAGAAAGATTAAATCCTTAAGTATTAAAGCAGCGTTTGTGATATTTCTAGGATTTGCTAAGAAAAAAAAAAAATGCAGAATGTTGATTGTACAGAAAAATAATCTACTTGTCTGAGGCAAGATTTAAAGCATTTTTCTAAGAAAGTAATATCCCATAGTTTACACTCTTCCAAAGAACCTGCAACAATCTTTTTTCTCCAAATGAGTCAAATGTTAATAATTTCATAATAGTGGCTATTGGATTGAAGTTGTCTTTAAAGCAAAATAATTATTAGCAAAATTCATGAAAATCCATAATGGAAAAAGAGGTAGCCCAGAACAAATACTTCCTTTAAATCAAGCATATATTGGCTAAAAAAGACTTTACTTTTTTTTATACAGAGCATATTTTCAGGCCACAGTCACAAATAAAAAAAAAAAAAAAAAAAAAAAAAGAATTCATAGTGGGAAGAATCTTTTAAAAGGCTAACAGTCATTAGTGGCTTTCATAGTTGTTCCTTTTTTCACTTATTCTGCAAGACTTTTTTACTAAAGAAATGGATTTTAAATTGTTAAGATAGCACCCTACTGTAATCAGTGAGATTTGTGCTGTGCTCCTGAAGACGTGCACCTTCCAGTTTCAACTATTCTGTGATTCTTTAAATACAATTTCATTTTCGATTTGCATAAGCGGTAATATGAAAAGATTATAAAAGTATATGAAATGAACAAGATTATAAGCATACGTATATTCATTCTGCTTTAGGAGCATTTATTTGCATTCAAAATGCATGAACGAAGAGCTGAGAAATTAAGACTATCAGATCAGATCAGAGTAGTGCAGCTATGGTAAATCACAAGGTTTGCAAGCAAGGAAAATGATGTTCAATTTTTATTTCAGTACATTTAACTTCATTGGAAGAACTCAAATGACCTTGACACATTCATACCTTTATAAAAGGGAAACCTCAGAGGGTTTTTTGATTAGTTGAATTTCCAACATTTCAAGCATTTACTTTCTCCTGACTTTAATCCCATTTTATCCTGAGTGAAGTTATAAATTTTTACTTTTCTTAAATGAATTCATTATTTCAAGAATGTTAAGTTAAATAGAAGAATGTATTCAACAAATAATTAAACCTAACTTTGAACCAGAGTTTTTATTGGGCTAGATTAATTTGTTTGTAGATTGTTATTTCTTTTTGGTCAATAGGCAGGCACTGACAGAAAAAAAACTGTGAAAAGTGTGGTAACAAATAACAGCCAAAGAGTCAGGAATGAAAGTTCTTAAAATGTACAACTTGTCTTCTCCATATCTTCATGAAACTCTTTGGTGGCCACCGTATGGGACTTTTGTCTGTTGTTTTGCTTCAGGTTCAAACTCATCAGAAAAGTTTCTGGCCAGATATAGTGAAATTTCTTATTTAGGTTTGTGTTAATCGTTGTGGGAAAAGTTACAGATCTGTAGGTCAAAACATTTAAATGCTTTATGTAGGTGCTTATTATTTCCATACTTCCTGATAAACTACAAGAAAATGTAAGTTAACGAGGCAAGCAACACTTCCCAGTCTCCAGATAGTTATACTGCATCACAGAGCCAGAAAAACAAAAAAATCTCAGTGAAGTGGTCATTTGTCAATCTATTTCTGTTTCTATTCTGCTTTTTCATCTTCGGTTAGCACTGGAAAAACTTTGAAATTGTAATAGGCCATGTATGTAAAAATAAATTTGCATTCTATGCTAGTTATAGGGAACACCCTGTCACTTTGTTTGCTGCCAGGAATCCCTTCAAACATGCATAACTTTGATAAGCTCTATCACAAATCCATATTTCCAACATATTTTTTATTTGTTTTTTGCCAAATCTTTGTACATTCAAAGACCAGAGTTCATATGGGGACAGGAAATATCACTTCAAAGACTGTAGTCTGGAATAATTAACAAGTGCTTGAGGCTAAGCTATAGATTAGTGAGGGGGAAAGAATAATGAGAGAATATAAGGAATTAATTTAAAACACTTAATTCAAATTTCAGTATCCTAATAAAAACATACTAATTGCTGATTAGAGTGCATTAAAAACTATTGAATGTTCATTATCTGACTTCATCTTAAGGGGGATTTGACAATGGAACCAATGTAATTTATACTTCTTTGTTAAGATATTTGGTTTGATATTAGTTAAGTTTGTATTTGGCTTCAAGAGCAACACAGTATCAAACTCCATAGCAAAACACTACAAATTAATCTCTGTGGCAACACTTCTGATAAAATAGGAAAAGATCTACACAGGAAGTGCTAAGCTGATTAGTTATGACTGCATTTAAGCTGACTTCTTTAGAAAAAATAAATAATAACAAAGCTTTCAATATAAAAAAGTTTATGTTAGGCTTCCTGGGGCTACACATTGACATAGTCAACTCCTTCTGTTTAGATAAGACAGTTCTGTAATTATTTCCCTCAAATGTTAATTCTGGGTAGTGGGTCTTATACGGGGTTTAACAGAAGAGGTACACACAAGTAACAAAAACAAAACAAAACAAGGACAACAGTTTAAAGACCCTTGTTTCTAAACATACAAAAATCACAGCCAACATTTGTTCTTAAAATGAGCTTTCCTTCTGAGAAGTAACTATTTAGCTGATATAAATCAGTGCATCTCCATTAAATGAATCTCAGTGGAATCAAGTAACATGCGTCAAACAATGTGTAAAGTGATACACAAGAAGAATGGTCAAGTAGAAAGCATTAAACGCTTTTTGTATCTAAACTGTGCTCTCATTTTTCAAATAGGTCTCCAGCGTCAGATGTGGTAAACAGCCTGGCTGATAAGCCGTGGGAAAGCATGGGACCACAGGCCTGCACTTACCATGGTCTGTGAATAAAGAGTTTTCAAGGCTATTACAAACTACTTTGCTCTAAAAAAAAGAAAAAAAAAAAAAAAAAAAAAAAAGAAAAAAAAAAGTTGTTTGTATTTATTCAAATAAAAATGGGTAAAAACATGCTGGAGAACAGCTATTTTCTAATCCTCTCCAGAGTAAAACATCAGACAATATGAACCACAGCTTAACAGCTGTGTTTGAAAGCAGCAAGTAACTTTTATTGTAGCACTGTAGTAGCCTCTCTTGTCTTTCAAAGGTATCAGACGCTACAAAAGAGGAATTCAGAGTAAATAACGTCTACAATGGATTCCTTACTACAGAACAACCACTTTCAAACATAAGCACATGCCTGAGATGCTCTTTTAGGTTCTCTTCATCTTTGCTATTTAAAATACTCCTTGTTACTTTATTTTAAACACTGACATAGATCCTCCATAAGGAAATCACAGAGAAACAAAGAGATTGTGGATAACGTAAACAGCTTATTTTTCCTATGTGTTTTGAGAACTCTAGTGTAGTGCAACGTGGTTCCTGTCTTAGATTTGCCACCTTCTGCAATTAACAATGAAACCTGGAAGGGGTTATAGCTCAATTCTGTAGACATCACCTTAAGATGCCAAGCACCACCACGCAGGCACCACACTGTCCCAAACTAACAGTGTACACATTACCTTCACTGAATGGGATCCCATGCTCTGGAAAACAACATAAACTGCATAAAAATTTGTATGGGAAGTAACAAATCAATATTTTGTCTCTTTGAAACAAAACCAAGAAAAATCGTGATAAGACTAACCTCCCCACTTCTTGGCAACACATACAACACTGCTAATGTCCCTTCTTTCAGAAACTGTTAATGCATTTTCCCCCTCATTTCTATATAAATTCCCTCATTTCTCATAAATTCCACCTTATCAAAACCCAAACCATTATCATTTCTCTAAGAGGTGAAAGCCAAAGAGGAATAAACACTGTCTGCTCTGTTCAAGGCAGGATATGAACCAAGTAAAATTCTCTCGCTTAAGTGAGATCCCTGATCCTAGCCTACAGGATATTTAGAACCTCCCTTCCTTCACTTTACCCGATTTGTAAAAACAAATTGAAGCAAATAAGAACATAACATACTAGCTTAAGAAACAGTGGGCAGTGTGATACCTGACTTCCAACCTCAGTATCTAAAGATAATATGGCATCACTGCATCCAAACTGAAGCATTAAACATGCCCTGACACATGCATTACAAATGTAGACCACATCCTGATTCTTAATGCTTCAAACCTCCTCATGACAAATCGCTTACTGAAGAATAACTTAGAGGTTGAGGGCACATTAAGCTAATGATTGCAAGAAGCATGGCAGAAATCACTCTTCAGTAGTGAAACACTCATTCACATTAGGTTGATGCAAATGCAATGAATCAGGGCCCTATTCACAAGACTTTCAGTTGGCAATTATTCCAAGGACATTGCCTCTGTGCATTTAGGTGTAATCCATCTTAGACATGGTAGCCAGGTAACAGCATGGTTGAGCTTAATGCGTGTTAAATGCCAATGGTGATGCAAATACTGCATGTAATAGGGCCAAGTGAGCTCTTAGTCCTGTGTCAAACTGTGTAATTCTACAGACAACACCAGTGCCACGGCACCCCAGATATCCTTGCTATTGTTTGGGAGCAGGAGATACAGCTTTCAACTCACAAGGCAAAGGTGACAAATGTTCTCCCTGATCAGAAGAAGCATACGTACCAAGGGAGACAATACACACCATGATGAAATGGGAAAATGAGACCACCAGCATTTATTTTATAAACTAGACCCAATGCCCAATATTTTTCTTTCACAGTCTCCAAAATGAAATATTTTCCTGTGCTCAAATTGAATACGTTGTTCAGTGACAGAAGAATATCTTCCAATTTTTGTTTTGAAGAGAAAAATGAAAATCCTTAAAAAATTCTGATCAATTCAAAACAATCTCCCAACTTTCACCCTTTCAACATTTTTCTGTTTGCCGCCAAAGCAAAAATTCCATAATCTGCAAAATGCAAGTACTCAGCCTTTTGCAAAAAGAAATACATTGAGTTTGTTTTTTAAGACCTTGAAAAACTGATGATTTGTATTTCTAGTGTGTGTCTAAGGTAAAACAACACAAGTCTGTTCCTATTCATTTCAGCTCAGTTCATAAGAGAGACAAAGGAGTGCTTAAATATATAAGGCTAAAGTCATAACAAAAAAAAAAAAAAAGACAACAGACAATGTATTTTTCAGAAGTTTAAGAGCATATTATACAAGTAGGGCCCTACTGCTTAATATGCTGAGGAGACAACTGAAGCTTTACTCCTTCGAAAAATTATTTTCCATTCTTTTTCTCTCAGTTTCCCTATGGGCTTGTAACCATCATTCTACTGATCCTCAAAACTGCTTTTATATTCTTTTCTCCCAGTTTTGCCTTTGATCATAAGAGAGTCCCTTTCAAATTTTACTCTTTCTTAATATTAATCACGACCCTTCTATACTGACATATTAATAAAATCTGTTTTAGTAACTCTCAGTGCTATATAAAGCCGGCAAAGAAATGTAGCTATGTTAACCCTAGCTCTTTACTGTAAGTTTCAGGTTATAGCAAATTTTGGACTAGGAAGGTAAGCTCCCTATAGTCGCCACTGAACTTGAGTGCTGATTTATCTCCAGAAAACCAGGCTAGAATCCTATTTTAAAAGAGAAGATATAGAAGAAACTCTTAACACTTCAGCTGCAGTTTAATTTCAGAGTCATGCACAATTTCCACTTTTAAATTCTACATATGAAAATGATAAGAACTAAAGGGTTTGATATTTCACTCACTAACATAATGTATATTCCAGACACTGAATTCATCCTCCTACCATTCTTTTTCTTTCTCACTCTAGGAGACTACCCTGACAGCATCCTCCAACCTTTTTACATACTAATGCAACGTGCAAAAAACTCAGCAGTCTTACAAAACCCTCCTCAGTATTCTCTGAATGTGCCAGACGGTTGATTTTTGGGAGTTAAAAATAAGTGCTAAATTCGTGTTGTCAGCACAGTCTTCAATTCAGCACATGAACTTATTTCTACATTTAAATATTTGTACTCATGCATTTTTATTGTACAATTCATATTGTCCAACACTGAGCAATATCTGTACGCTAACAGCAGACTTCACCATACTCCAATACTTTCAATAAGCATAGGCTAACAGAGGGCTATGGGATTGCCAGATAATAAGGAATACCAGGAGGGTCACACATTTGTTATATTGAAGACACCTGTTAGTTTCTGTTTACTTGCTGCTATTTCTTTGGAATGTCTGCACATGTTTGATAGCAATTATTTCCAATGTGAAACCATGAAGTCAGGCTTGCTGTCAAATCCCATACCTTATCATACACTGGTAGCATATTTCTGTTAAAAAATAGTGCATGAACTGTGTGTCAAAAAAGAACAGTACAGAAATCCCTTGTCTGGCAATTCTAGGCAGGGAAATCTTTCCCACTGTGAAAAGGGTGCAGAAACCGTGATCTTCTGAGGTATCTGTTTGTAGAGAAGACTTTGTAAAAAAAACAACAACAACAACAACGAACCACAACCTTTTCTAACTGCTTTGTCCAAACAAAATCTGACTGGGCTCTTATTTCTGCACAGTGTTTGACTCCAATTGCATCACTTCACTCTGTTCTGGAAGAGGCCGAGACAGCATACGGAAAGAATCACTAGTGCAGATCCCTCAGCCAACAACGCATGTCTGGTAAGGGAGTGTGCGAGGTGACTCGGAGATAAAATGCCAGAAAAATGATCTATATCCTCTGCTCTCTGTAATATAAGATGCCTTACATAAGGACAAACTTTCCCTATGGTTTTAGGTGGCATTTAGATTGAATTCCAGGAAGATCAAGAAAGTTATTTAACAACAGCTTTTAATTTTTACAGGCAAAACAGTAGAAGTTTGTCTATTTTTATGAAAACATTAATCTACTACATCTCCCTCCTCCTGCTAGGCTCCAAAACGTTGTCTGTTCCCATATTATTTTGATTATAATTATAGCTAGCTATTAGCCACTGACCCTTTGTTTAATCTAAATGTAAACCTACTCCAGGATGTAGCAATTACGGATGCTCTGTTATGAGCAGCATGCCTCTCAGGAGCGGTTGTTATGACAAACAGCTCAAGCTGTGTTAGCCTACACAAATGGGAATTCAATTAAGGGTGCCTTTTATTATGTGATACAAAATGACTACTCTAATGGTTGAGGAAAGACACAAGTGCTTAACTACATGCCATTTCCAAGCATGTATCAATTACCAGTAGACTTTATCATAACTATGCCTTGATACGTTGAACTGTATTTGGACTATAGAGGATTCTCTCTAATGTAAAGATGAATTTTTAAAATGTTAGTCAGTTTGGGGGGTTGGACTCGATGATCTCTGGAGGTCTCTTCCAACCCCTACAATTCTGTGATTAATGTCTTGACATTCTGAACAATTAATCAGCGATGCTGGAAAGTTGATATATTCTATCCAACTACTGCCCACACTACCAAAATACACTTTTACTTACAGTCACTACAAAAATTAGAGGCAAACTACCCAACTCAAGTTTTTTTGCTTTTTTAATTCTAGAGTTACTTTAGAGTCAATGTCATTTAAGTGAAAGTCAAAAGAAATCTAGACTATACTCTTGAAAGAATTCAGCTGCCAAAAAGTAATTCATATGATAGCCAGATCTAACTTGCCAATACATGTTGACTACCATCAGAGATAAAAAGACAATTTAGGGCAAATTACATGCCATTCTAGGTACTTACATAAGAGAAGAAGTTTAAGGAGAGAAGTTTCTCTAGATTTGCTTTACTTACTAATACATCTTTGTACAAGCCTTCTTTACTCTGACATAAGCAGTTTTGACACATAAGTCTCATAACATTCAAAGTCCTAAACTTGAGTACCATCAAAAACCTTCTTTCTTCCCATTCTCCTGTGAAGAGCATCTACCCTCGAATTAGTAAATAAGGATAATATTCTTAATTTAGCAGTCAGAATAATATTTTCCTCAAAGTCTGACAGAAACTAAACACGATTAAATAGACTGAACAGTATTGTTTTTTTAATAGTTCCATTACTGTGACACTGCAAGAATTGTTCATAACCAGTCTTATTTAGGTAGGGCTTAACTCCAGAACACCTAAATATCTACTAGTAGCAATCAGACAAGAACCGTTGTACATGCCATCTTTCCTCTCCTAGTCTAATCCTAAGTGGAGAATTGTGTGCAGTAACATGTTTTGCACGCACTTTTTAATTATATTTCTCAGATTTACGAAATCTGCCTGTTCAGAAGCCGTAGGAGTGAACACGTTGACCAATTTGAGCAAAGTCAGACAAAGTAATACATGCCCCAGGGGTGGTAGATTGCTACAGCCTTCCATAAAGCCACTGCTAGATGAGGGAGAGAACTTACAGAGCTACAGAGTGAATTTCACGTTGAAAGCATGGAGGAAAAAAAAGGGAAATAATCAGGTATGAAAAACAAAGGAGTGTGAAGATCGTTTTCAACAATCATACAGTATCTTAATGCAGCCTGATTGAGTGGGTGGCAGCCCTGCCTATCGCAGGGAGTTGGAACTAGATGACCTCAAGGTCCCCTCCAACCTAACTCATTCTATGTTCCTATGATTCTATCTTAAGAGTTCCAATCAGCAAATTCACTCAACAGTGAAAACACTAACTTCTGCCCCTGTAAAAAAAAAGTGTGGCACAGTGAGGACAGAATAATGCATATGACAACTCATATCCAAATGAAGTTAATGCAGGTCATCAAAATGCTAGACACTTCAACAGCTGCAGTAAAACACTTCAAAAAACAACTATTTCTTTCATGACCTACAATGTCTTTAAGGGAAGCCTGGGAAATGCACAGCAATGTGGAGTTGCAAGCCTTAACTAAAGCTCAGACAGATGTTAGAGCATTCATAAAACACTTGTTTGAGGAAACTCTGAGTGTCACTTGTACCTAAATCCTAAAGACACCGTTTCACAGGGCAGTCTTTTCTGAATTCTTCCTAAGGAAACATTACCCAAAGGAAATGTGCAAGTCTGGAAAAAGAGTGGAAAAAGTTAACACTACATTCTCACTACAAATCAGATGGGAAACCCTGGCTTCTGATGTGTGGTGGTTTAGGATTTTTTTTTTTTTTTTTTTTTTTTTTTTTAACTTTAGAGTGAAACTTCAGACACAAAGGGTCCTGCCTCTTCTCTTCGCATTAATTCACAATAGGGTAGATACAGTGAAGGTAAAAAGCTATGTGGCACTGCTGGTTCAGATGAGGGTAAATGCGTTTGGCAAGTTAGTTACTGTCAAAAAGAATGCTAAAACAACTGAAACAATTCAAGTAATTTACTAATCTAACTCACTTTTCCAGCTGCAGGCAGTTCATACAATAATAACAACTTAAAAAAAAAAAAAAGATAAAAATCTACCAACTAGGCTGAGCTGCCATCCTCTCCATGTAATCCTTGGCCATGCCAATGGCTTCAGTGTTGTCAGGATAGAGAACACAGAACATTGCCAAGGCCCCCAGGTTGTTGCCGTAAATCTCATTCCACCGAGCGCTGAACTCCTTTGGATCCCATGGCGGGAGGTACTCCAGGGGGTTTGACAGCATTGTCTGCACTGCCTCCATCAGCCGAGCCGTGATGTGTCGGTGTGTGGTTGCAGCCTGGAGACGCAGACCCTCCACGTCACCCTTGGAAAAGTAGAGCATGGGATAACTGTCGTAGTTGGCATTGACAAAAGGAACCATGGCATCCACGTCCTCCCTGATGCCGCAAGCGAAGGCGAAGCACATCACATGTATGAAAAACACACTTGGGGCTCCCCGGGTGTGAGTCCTCATTGTGGCATCAGATCTCCAAGTCCCAGTGGGAGCCAAATCATCTTTGAAATATCCTATGGCAGACAGATGTAAAAGAGTTAGAAAAACAATCCGTAAGGCAATATAATCAAGGATGCTTTTGAGGAAATATGACTCCAATGAGACTTAAGACATGTGGCTTTCAAATCATTTCTCTACAAATCATTCAGACTGAGCAATCCATCCTAAAGAAAAACCTACCTGCTTTGAAATCTATATACTCCTACCAGGAGCTGATACAAGGAGAATGAACACACTGACAGTTCAAGTATTTGGGACTCACTGAAGTTTCAATTCATTGCAATAGTGCCTAACTCAAAGCACTGCTGTCTTACTGGGGAATAGATGAGGGAGAGAGAGGGAAGGAAGGAGGAGTGGGGACTGCCATTGAGATGGTGCTAGCAGCAGCCAAGCCTGTGTGCTGCACTGGCTGATGTTAACAGCTGGAGAATGAAGGATGTGGTATGCTAGAGTTTGCATAGAGGTCATTTTATACTGTGCTCTGACACGTCCTCATTTTCAAAAAAAAAAAAAAAAAAAAAAAAAAAAAAAAAAAAAAACAAAAAAAACAAAAAAACAAAAAACGAATAAAGAGAACAAGGAACAGGCAGAGCCTTAGAAACACAGCTGAAATACCCAGCCTTTAGGGCATTTAGGTATTTTGTATCTTTTTTTTTTCCCCTAAGCGGCTCTCCATCTTGCATTTGAAGATTTACTGCCAGCTACCAAGGAGGCTGAAGGTTAAAGTAAAGTACATATTTTCCTACATACACAACTTCTCAAAATGTGCCCAAATGGCAAATCTATACTGAGGTTAAATGGAAGTATTTAAACATAGTAAGCTACTTAGTAGAAAACACCAACTATCTAGCCTTAAGTCTCAGATAAAACACGGCCAGGATCCCCCTGAGGAAAGCCAACAAATTCCTCAAATTCTTCACAGGGGAAAGGTTACAGAAAGCAGACTGAAGAGAGACAGCTTTATGTAAATAATGAACAGTAGTTTTCAATTATTGAAAAAGAAATAGACAGGAGGAAAGAAAACCTAAAAACAAATATGAAATATTTTTTTCCATGGAAAACCTGTTTCATAGGATTCAGTAATAAAACTCATAAGAGGCTGAAGTACAAAGCAACCTTTTATTTCTCCCCACAGTTCCCTATGTATAGATGCCAACATTTCCTAACAGAAACTTAGGCTGCTAAAACCATGTTTAGAGACCCACATCCTGATTCCACAGTGTCATTACTGCATGCACAGTGAGGCAATCTCATTGGACTGGGACCCTCAACAACTACTGGGTACACAGACCCTCAGTCATTTGTGTTCTGTCAATTTAGAAGAAAGTAATTACGGCCAAGAAGTACATCTCTTTTGCATTCTTCCCTAGGGTAAAAATAATGTTGTACTCTGTAACTGTCTGCATTTATGCATTACAGAGCATAACACAATTGCTTTAACAGAGAGTAATGGAAGATGACATTTTCATACTACGCTAACACATTTTGCAGGTAAGTTTTGCCATTTTTGGGATGTAAACCAATCATTACAGGACACATTACACAGATCAAAGTGTGGTTTAGTTGGTAATGCTTGTACTATGTCTACAGATTTGCTCACCGCACACACAAAGAAACATGCACTGTAGTTTATCCAAACACACTCAATTCTGTTGGTATCCTCACCTATAAATAATGAATACATACAGAAATATATTTTGAAAGGAAGGGTAAATATATTTTAAATAAAAGTTGAAAAAAGCCTTTTGAAATGCAGTGTATTTAAAACAAAACAAAACAAAAAAAAAACCCAGCTCAACAAGAACTGTTGAGAACTGCTTTATCATGACCAAAAAAAAAAAAATTACCACATTGCTTAAAAAAAAACACTTTATGATCCTTTAGAAGTGGTGAGAAAAGGAAAAAAAAAAAAAAAAAAAAAAAAATCCCACACAGCAGAAAGGACTCCATGCATTCCTTGCCTTGGTTTGATTCCTGTAAGGACTCTCACACATCAGTGAGAAATTAAACACATACTTGAATTTAGGGATGATTTTAAAATCTCCCTAAATTACAGTCTTTCTGACCAGGGTATATACTGCAAAGTTTCCCATGACATCCCCCTTTGAAAATTCGGACACACGTTTCCCAGCACTAAACCAAAAACAAACACCTCCTGTGTTGTCTAAAATCTATAGTTCATATTTTATGAATTCAATAACCTCCCTCCCCATCTTTTCCTGGTTTGGAAGAAAGTCAACAGGCAGTGACAAAAACAGGACTACAAAGCCACTAATTTGTGATCAAATCACATCAGTACAGAGTGACCTTCCTCTCCACATGCACCTCTGCGGAGGCCCCAGCCTCAACCACAGAGGGGGACTGGGACAGCGTGAGCATGGCCAAAGCAATGCTACGGGAGGAAAGAAAGGTGTTTAGGTGTTCTGTGTTGTCTCAGTTGCAGTGCCCTTAAGAGCAGGACTAACAAAACTGATAACGAAAAGTCACAGCCGTGGACAGGCAGTATCAGCCAGAGAGGAAATACGGACTAGGTGGTTACAGACAAAGCCCTGAAAAAAAACAAGCTTTACAGGGGCTTCCAGTAGCTGAGCTGCCTTGAAACACATGCAGAATTGAGGCCTTCCCAGAGTAGGATGGACTTGACCACATTTTACTGATTTACTGATCTCTCTCAGTAATACCACAGGGCTCTGAGGTGCCAGCGCTCTTCCTCGTTGCAGTTGGTTAGAAACTAAACTGGCTTGTAAGGTATCTACAAAACTACTTCAAAAATTATCAGACATGAGATGTAATAGGCTCCAGAAGAACCAATTCACCCTTGACAGGAGAACCCGGCCAAAAATAATAACTTTTAGAGACTATTTAAAATTCGATATAATGGTACAAATATCCTTAGGGAGGAAGGGATGACAATCATTAACCTCTGAAGCATAATGCATAAGCGTTATGTGTTGAACTCCATATTCTGATGTTTCTTTAGCTAACTTAGTTGCCTACTGAAACCTAAAGAAACATACTGCACTGTTGGAAACATGCATCTGAAACCCAATTATCTCCATAACTTAGGTGAAGCCAAACATGGACAGACAATTGGCCACATAAACCCCAACTTAACAGTTGTGGGTGAACCTGCAACAAATTTGGTCAATACACAGGGCTGAAATGAAAAGGAGCCCGGCTTTCTGATTGCTTAAATCTCACTCACAATACTACTTTTTAAAGTAAAAAGAATTCCTTAATATCATATTACACTACATCATCACCAACCACATCTTCCAGAAAAACTTTATCGTGCAATTCAACCTTTTCTGAAAACAGTTTTTTTATTCAGTTTGGAAACCATAACCTGATAAAGTATTAAAAGTAAGGAGAGTGAAGGATGCTTACCCACTGAAGAAAATGTTAATATACCATATACTTTGAAGGGTTGTCACTCAGTCCTAGACTGAAAAAGCATTTGCCATGATTTCCACTCCACTGCCAGCAGAAACAAAACAATAGAGGAACACCATTTATTCTAGGGGGAAAAAAAAAGAATAAATTTTAACTATTTTCATTCTCCTCATCCACAATAAACACTGGATATTCTACTGGGGAAAAAAAAATATTATAAAACTGATGCCACTAACTGAATTGGACATTGTTATACACAGTAGGTCCACCAAATAAACACTGTCTAAAGGAAAACAGAGGCCCTGTTAACTCCAGCTGCTTGTGCATTGAAAGACAGCTCCAGCAGAGAGAGCAAAGGAGCAGGAAGAGGGGGTGAAGGGCTGTGAGGAAAGGACAGCACTGGTTGGATCAGCAATACCTGAAGCACCCTGACATTATGGATTATTAAAAAAAAAAAAAAACAAAAACATGTAGAGACTAGTGACTTCAGTTCTGAAGAGGCATTTTAGGGACGATTTTTGCTGGGACAGCTCTTGTATCTTCTCTTAGAAAAAAGAAATAGTGAGCATCTCCGGTAGCATCTTCAAGATTCACCCATGTCTCACCTCTCACATGATATCTCATCAGCATATACATCTATGACCAGCAAAGCTGGCACTTAGGATTTCTGGTGATTAAAGTTTCCACCAGAACAGCATGGATTCTTCAGGTTACTGAATGAGAGGCTCCCACCACGGTTGAGGCACACGCAAACCAGCCCTGCCCACCCAGTCTCACTAGGAGTGACTGTCTCAGCACACAGCTCTTGCCTATGCTTGCTGAGGCTAAGGGCCCTCCTCCTCACGGTGGAGAATCAGCTTCTATGAAACCAAGTTTATCATTTGGAAACTGATGTTTTAAAACCATGAGCATGTTAACTGGAAAGTTATTTTATAGAAGAATATCTGCTTTAGCACTGATTGAGTATTTTGCAAACAAAAACAGGAATGTAATCGAGTCATCTAACTGAAACTAGTTGCATTTAAGGACAAAATAATGCAGCTAGGGTCCATGGAAACAGAGAGATGAAAAAGTCAATAGAGACTAATCCCCATATATTGCCATTCAGTTCCTATACTGACTCATGGATCTATCTGTGGGCAAAATTAGGCAATACAGTGGGACCAAGAAAAGTACAAACTTATCTGCACACTGTAGTAACCACAACAAATCCAGTGTCTAAACTCTCAAGCCTAATGACTAGTGTGCTAATGTTCCACATCAGCAGGTACTACCTAGATCCTTTCAGAGCTGCAGGGCTAGACAAGAGTACAGGAGATTGACATGCAGCTGAGAGTCCTTCCTCCAAACTCAGTGATTGATTATCTGTCCCTCCAGTAACAATGCTGGGAAGGTGGAGTACCACTGCTCACAACCTGAGTAATACCTATTACAACCTTAACCACCAGGGGACATTACTTTGCTTCTTCCTCTCATTTTTCCATTGTGAGAAAAATGCTACACCGTAAGTATGTGATCTGAAAAGTATTTAAAAGCTTAAATATTGAAATGCAAAACATAACTCAGAAATCAATCTGCAATAAAGAAAGTACCACTCAGGTACCTGTGTGTTTGTTTTGCACTTGTTCTAATATGATCTAAAATAACCTTAAAAGAGGCTTTGCATCAGTTTGCATGTCTGAGCGATTGCTGTAACTCTGAAAACCATGAAGGCAACCAGAAGAAAGTAGTTCCTAAACTAATTACCCATCTGTGACATCATGTCAGCAGTCAAGATTTAAACTTGTGCCTATCCTTTGATCTATGCACAAAATTCAATGGATCTATTTAGCACAGCATGCAGCTGTATGGGTATCATGACGGGTTGCACTCAATTCTGCACCTATGCTGCAGACAGAGCAGGAGTTCACTGCAGAACGTGTAAGTTATCAGCCATGGAAGCCCTGCCTGCACTTAGCCCTTCTATTTAAAATCGTATTTGTTGTTTTTACCACCATATTTAGAAATCAGCATGGCCTACACACACCCAATGCATAACCTTTTCTCTGCCTCAAGCAAAAACAGGATTTAAATTTTCTGCATGCCCAAACCATAGCCTGGGAATTTGGAATTTTCTTCTATTTTATAAGTTATTCCACTACACAAATGCTTTCTCAATTTTTCAGTTGTACAAACATTACTACTCTTAACTCTCACTGGGATCCTTTAATCTATACTTCGCTGTCTAGAATGAATAAGAAAATAATTTTGATATGCAGCACCATAAAGGCAGTAATTCCCAACCAGTTTGGACATGCCTGCTAAGGCATTCAGTGAATAGAAGCTTAGTCACTTCTACCATCACGGACTATATAACTATGAACCTCCACAGAAAGATCTCTTTGAGAGCTCCAGAACTTTTTATTTTATCCTAAGCTGAAAAAAATTTTAAAAGGCCTTTTAAATAATTAGAAATAATTATTTTTCACAGAAGCTAGCACTAACAAAGGCAACTAGAAAGTATGAACTGCTTTTGCCCATTCCACTGATGTCCCAGAGGTCAACCTGCAAACCACTTCTCCATCCATTACACAGTTCTAACATGTAGGAAACTTCTGGGGACTAGAACTATCACCATAGCAGTGCAGAAACTCAGAACAGAGGAACCTGTAACAGTTCAGGTTATTTTTTTTTTTTGCAACTGCTAAGAAGCATAGCTTTTTCTGACCAGTTCAGCAGGCCTGGAAGTGTGTGAACAGTTGGACTTGGGGTATCAGGAACTACACAGAAGGTTTCCTGTGAAAGCAGCCTCCTGGCCAGAAGAGAAACTGTGTCTCACCACGGGAAGTAAGCAAAGGAAGAGATTATTTGAGGTTACCCAGAGCGTGATCTGTGCACGGATCAAGCAGCAGAAGTACAGTGCACAGGAAAAGCTGCAACACACTATGTGATTGCAATGCCCAGGAGGTGCAAATACAGGACAGAAAAAATTAATCATACATGTAAAAGGGGAAAGGCAATTCTACTGCCGTCAAAACAAAAATCCTCCTTGTGCCTAATCCAACCTGATCAGACTGCTGCGTGTGGAGCTTCTCTTGCTGCTTCAGCAGGCCAGTTATCAGAAACTTCTGACACTGGTGTTTCCATCTCACAGTTTAGTTCCTATTCCCTTTTCCAATTAATATCTTTTTATTAGCTTTCTTCTTTACTCCTTTTACTATTTGTAAATGTTTCAAGTCCCCTGGCTGGTTGTTCACCTCTACTATGTATAATTGACAGCTTTAAACTTTCCTGCTTATTGTTTTAATTGCCCTCCAAGATGAATGGAGACAAATGCCTCAGCTGGTGTTCTACAAACTCAGCTTTTTCTCCAAGTATATCTGCGCCTATTTACAAACTTCGGCAGTTGAAGATATCGAGTATTTATTTTTGTTAGCATTTCCACAGAATGTCATATCAACAGATGGGAATGCATCATATCCTTTGCTTGCTATGGGATCAAAGCGCATTTTAACTGTCTCTCATATCCTATTAATGACTCAGTTTTGCATACAAAGCTATCCTACAACTTTATTTCTATTATGCTGACATGTAAAGAACATTGGTAAAAACCAAAGTAATCTATGCTAGTCAATTCACGAATCTAAAAAGATTATAATCTGACTTAAATCAACGCTTGGTTTTATATTATTTACATCTACTTTTAAGACATGCATACTCACATAGAACTACTCTTTCATTTGCTATAATACAAACATCTCTATGTTTATTTTCTTCAGTTGCACCACCTCACCTGGCAGCCCCTTCTCACCTCTACTCAATATACTGTTCATAATTATTGGTACAACTCTGTCATTACCTGTGCTACATTCATATTTCATTGCTATACATCTCTGTATCTCCAATTTCTATACATAAGGATGTATAGAGAGCACATAGCTTCTCTATCTATATAATATGTATGTACCAGATGCACCCAATGTTTTTCAGGGTACAAACTTGGAGAGAAAATAAAACATATTGCTTCTTTGAGATTACTGCTATCTTCACTGTGGCTGAGAACAGACATGATAAGAAGAGCCAGTTATATTTTCATGGAAAGAAGCTTCCAATACAGACACAGCTCAAAGTTTCACTACTTCTGCAAAGTTTAGCTGCTCATGTTTGGCGTAACCAATTTTCTTGAGTAGGCTTCAACATTACCATTAAATTACAGGTTAATCTTTAAATTTAGAATTGCAAATACTAATTTTTCTGGCTTTGAGCTGTGCAGGCATGGCTCTCACAGTTCAACCAAAACATTACGTAGCACGTTAGCAAAAAATGTGGCATACCACAGTTACAAGGATCTGATCAAAAAGCTTTAAAGTAACTTGGCATCCACAGAAACATCCTTAGAGAATTTCTGAAATACTTCCATAGCTATAGCAAATATTTCATTGAAAACTTATGATGGCAAACATGGTTTCTATCAAACATTCAGCATACTTATCATCTCTGATAAAAACAAACAAATGAAAACAAGCAAGAACATAAAGAAAACTGTGGTGGAAGAACTCTAATGTTAAAATTAAGTTTATCTGCTACTGAAACACAATACCTAACTGAGAAAACTGACCAGAATCCCTAAAGTCCATTGTCTGCTCTAAACAAGGCTATTGCCAATCCCTGTGATACTCTCCCTGAGTCTGAGCTAGGAGGAAAAAAAAGAAAAGAGGACCAAACAAGGGTACTTTCAGACCATGTAAAAATAACAGCCTCACTGCGACTGAGTTTTAACAACTGACTGCATCCCAACGGCAGTGAAAAAGTGATGTCAGCCTCTGATGGGAGAAGCTATTCCCAGTGCTCCGTCCTTCATGCCATTCCCAAAATGACCAGACCTCATAGGTCAGGTCCGTGTTACCAACGCCTTGCTTCTGCTGAACTTCTGCTGGCCAAGCATTTGTGAGAAAGGACCCACATGACATCAGCAATATTTCCTATTTCCTGGCAGGATTTAATCCCCTTCCCTGCTCCATTCCCATCCTGAGCAAATAATCGAGTCTGGAAAAAGCACAGTGCACAAGGGTCTGGGGCTTTTGCTAATGAAGCTGTCACACCTCATCATGTCCCCACCATGATAAGCTGTGCCAACAGACACATAACACAGGTCTCACATGAGAAAATGTTGAATCTGTGGAGTGAATAAATCCTGATATTTGAGTAAGGTGAGCAGGATCTGGCCCTCTGGATCATAGTGAAGAAGAGCTGCACCTTGTGCATATCTGGAATGTCATCCCTGGGTCATGGTCCATGCTTTGGCACAAAGCACACCCACCCAAACAGGGAACAGTTCAAGGGATGGGCTTTCAACCAAATATTAAGCCCAAGTATAATAAAGACATGACTACAGCTGTGAACACAAACTGGCACTGCGCTGTAGCAGCTTTGGGAGTACAACACTGTAACCAAACTCCTTTATCTAAACCAGCTGAAAGGAAGTGCAAACAGGCAGGACAAGCTTGCTGCTGAGATATCCTATTTGCCAATTAAATGCAGCTCACTAAGAAAAAGCCGTATCTTTTATTATCCTCATACTTGGATTACCAAGTCTAAACCAGGAAACAAAAGTTATAGAAAGTTGTTTCCTTGTTTATACTTCTAATCTCTGCAAAAAATAAAAATAAAAAGGGGAAAACAAACCTTATTTCTTGCAAAATATCCAGGAACAATAGCAGTAGTAACTGAATCACTTTCTGCTCATTGCTGGAGTATGATGGGGGTTCCAGATGTTCAAATTTCCAAACACAGCCGTAGGAATGTGACTCAGTTCTAACTAAACTAGTGTGATTGCATTTAGTGAGAACTGAGTCACAGTCCTGTGCAGACACTGCTGCTGCATGGCCTCACTTACAGCCTCACTTCACCTCACTCTCATGGCTCAGGCTGCCTGCCACTGACAGATGGGACCATTTCTTCACCTGCAAATAAGATGGTGCTACTCATTTGCAAACCACCAGCTGCCTGCTGGGGGCAATAATTTCCTACCATCACTGACCCAGGTTTGAAAAACTTTATTCTTTTCTTTTCTTTCTTAATTTTTTTTTTTTTTTTTTTCTGAAAAAGTGCCAGAAGAAGGCACTGAGTCACTGCTCATAAAGGAGTAGCTGAAAGATAGCTTCAATTTTATTATAACTGTATGCAACCTATGAAAACAACTTCTAACACTTAGCCAGGTAATTAAATGCACTTCTTTCTCCACTGTAATGTAGAAATTTACTAAATACCTCATTAGAACAATTAAAATAAACTGTGATGACATTTGAGCTCACTTGAGTGACTAGAAACTATCAGCTTTTACCACAGGTAACCAATCTGCCTAGCTCTTCCTTTGCAGCACATACTTTCTATGACCTAAGTGCTGGGGTTAGAAGTGGCTGTACAGGGATACAGTGACAGAGCCACTGACCTCAGTGTCTTCTGAGGTCAGCATCCACACAGGATGCAGATACAATTATAAATGTACCTTGTTCTTATATTAAATAATACCTTTTTTTTTTTTTTTCATGGCAATACTAATCAGTGCTAAGTATCCCAATACTTCCAGCAATAAAAGCAAACTTATTTTGAATAACAAGAAAACATTTTGTTAAAGCACTGGCAGTCCTTCCCCAGTGAGACAGCCTATTAGAAATATATTGTAGCTTTGTTTGCCGGCAAAATTTACAGTCAAGAAAATTCCAATCCAGAACTGGCACTTTGTTGCCTTCCATTAAAAACTTCAGCTAATGTAGGTCACAAAAGAAACCCATAGGAGCAGTGCCACACAATGCAAGAACCCCCAGCTGGAGTAACACTTAGCGCTTCTGTTGAAAAATGCACCCAGGGATCTCTGAGCAGTTATGAACTCAATTAATTAATTAGGGCTCTCAGCACCTCCATGACGCAGCGGGCACATTTATCTGCTTTATGAGTAGGGGAAGCAGAGGCACAGCGAGGTGGGGCATGCTGCCCGAGGCTACCCAGCGAGAGACTTTCAGAGCAATGAACAGAATCTGAGTTATTGATTCCCACTGCTGCCCTTCACTGTATTGTTCCTTTCCCAAAACCCCGTGCTGAGTTATGATCATTGTTGGCGTGATAACCATCGCGTGGCAATGCTCAGCCGAGATTTGCTTGCTCTTTGTTTGGGCCGTATTAAAACTTGAGTGTTATTTAAACTGCAATAGATCTTCTCAGGCTGAGCAAACCCTGCAGCTACTCGAGCAATAATTCCTGCATTTCATTCCCAGCTACATTCGCTTCCTACGCTGTCACTGTCCAAAAAGGCGGCTTGGGGAGCAGCACAGCTTTACGTTGTTTGGAGAAGGGATGTCATAAAGAGGCGCAGCGCGGCTGCTCCCGGCGCCGTCGGGCCGCAGTCGCGGGGCGTGCAGGAGGCACGGAGCGGCCCGAGGGCCGCCGGCATTGCGGGAGGTGGCAGCCGCGCTCCCAAGCTCACTCCGACTTTTCCAACAACCACCACCAAAAATCAAAACGGCAGGAAGTTGCATCGGGCAGATCTCCCTTTTCCTGTCTCTGGGCTCCCCTAAGCGCACGATGAGGATGCTCCCACTTACCTCTCACACGGGCACGTCTGCGAGGCTCCACTCAGCGCCTGCGAACGGCTCCGGCGCTGCTGCCGGGGGTGGGGCACAGATCTAAGCACCTCCAGTGCGCGGGGCCCGACCCGCGCCCCGTCGGCACCCGCAGCGCCGCCGAGAGGAGCCCCCTGGCCCGCCGCGCCCAGCGGAAAGACGGGACGGGACGCGGAGACGCGACGGTGCGGGGGCGCGCACTTTCTGCCGACGGCCCCTGCTCGGCGCAGCCTCGCAATTCCTCGAACAGCAAGTTTCTGCCGAGCAGCCCCGGGGCACGGAGCGGGGGGGCCGTTTTTCTACTCAGGAAGAAAGCGGCTGCCCCCTCCCGCTCCACCCCCTCCTCCCCGCCCTCCTTCCTTACCTCTCCCCGTCCTCCATCTCCTCCCTCCCCCTCCCCGCCCCAGCCCCTCACGCCATGGCGGCGGCGCGGTCGCGCTCCGCCCGCCGCCCCCACGGCAGCCCCCGGCCCCGCTGCCGTTCCCGCACGGAAGCAGCGCGGCCGCCCCTTGTAGCGGGGTGCGCTTGTTGGAGCGCCGGCCGCAAAACAAGGAAATGCGCACCCGGCCCCAACCCCGACTGTCGGAATTGCGGGTTCTGCACGGCTCTGCACGGATTGTGGAGATGAAAGCAGCCAGGGGGGACTCACCTCGGTATCCATCTCACCGTGCTGCATAATCATAGGATTATAGAATATTCCGAGTTGGAAGGGAATCTTAAGGATCATCAAGTCTGACTGTCAGTCTATCACCACCGCATCCAACTAACCAGATTCCTCAGCATCTAAATATTTCTAGAACACTTCTAGGGACAGTGACTCCACCACCTAACTGGTCAACCCATTCTAGCACCTGATCACTCTTCTGAGAATCAATTTTTTCCCAATATCCAACCCAAACATCCTCTGGAGCAACTTAAGGCCATTACCTCTCATCCTATCCTTAGTTATATGGGAGAAGAGGCCAACTTCCCCCTCTCCACAACCTCCATTCAGGTAATTGTAGAAAGTGACAAGGTCTCCCCTGAGCCTCCTCTTCTCCATATCAAACAATCCCAGTTCCCTCAGCTGCTTCCAATAACACTTGTGCTCCAGGCCCTTCACAGGTATGTGACACGCTTCTCTGAACACGGCCAGGACCTCCATGTCTTTCTGGTAGTGAGGAGTCCAATGGAACATCTCACCCAAATGTCCCCTCAGAGTTCTTTTTCCCCACAATGAAACAAAACGTCAATTTGTCCACATGCTCTTTGAAATGTGATGTGACTATATTTAAGCTTATACAAGTAAAAATGTGAAACATCAGCAGCATCCACACCAATCATCCTGGCTTTTATGCAGCCACTCAAATGAAGATGCTTGGAAAGGTAATGGAAAATGGGACAACAGAATCGAACCTTGGGAACAGCTGTCTTTGTCACTGATAACCAGGAAAAAGTGAAAACGAAGATTTTCAAATGTTTGTTGGCTATACAAAGCTGAGTACATTTCATCATCTTCAGACTATGGCTGGGGTCCAAACAAAAACATTTACATGCAATAGCTCAGGATGCTGTACAGCCTCCTGGGGTTTCAATTTCCCAAAGCTTTTTCTTAACCATCACTTTAGTAGTGTTACTGAATCACTGCCTGGGCTGTAAGTGTACATACAAAACTGAGGATAATTCTAAGCCTGCTTCATGGTTTATGGCAGTGTGATTTCCTTCTGTTCTACAAAGACTGATAAGCTTGTAGAAACTAGGAAAAAACTAGAAACTCTACATTTATTTTTAATCCTTCCCTTTTGAAGTATTTCTCTGCCTATTGACAACCTTACTGGAATCCACCAAACTCAGAATAGTGCCAGAGCCTGGAAAGAAGCCTTGCTCTGTACTGGTAGTGACATGCTGACAAGAAGGGAGTGCTTCATTTTTAGTCATGCAAACACCAGATTAATCATTAGAAGATGTATTTCTAAACACCTATTTGAATGGTATTGGACTATACTGCACTGATAATGCAGTTGTAAAATATTGGTGTTGTAACATGAATGAGCAAGAGAAAAGCTGCATCCACTACCAACCAGACATGGAGCAGAGAGAAAGTGCATGAGAATTCCTAGAACTGTTGGGATGCCTGAAGTGATCAGCAGGGAGATGTCCACGTACTGGTCATATGTTAGCATCACATTACTAGGTATTTAAATATATTGAGTCTAAGTAACACAGCATTGTTAACTTGCAGTTCTGAACGGTGTAACTCAAAACCTCATTTCTTGGTAGTACCTATCTGTGTTTCAGATAAACTGCACTATACTGCTTTGAATACCTGGGCAAGACATGCTGTGATCCCATAGAGCCTATGCACTCAGGTTCCTTTCTCAGAGGATGAGTTGGGATGTGCTTGGGTCTTGCTCTGACATCGGTAGTGGTGAAGAGCCACAAAGCCCCTGTGCTTTATGTCTTCTTGTATAAAATGGGACTCATCTTACTGCTCAGTAACCCATGAAGTGCTTGTCAGGCTAAATAAATACAATGAAATTTATATGCAGTCATTCAGAAAAGCCCAACAGGCAAGAAATTTCTATTCTAGTTTAATTTCAGCTTTATGACTAATTGTTTTCTTTTTGCATCCTGAATGCACTGCTTACTTCACAGTCCACCCAAAATCAAGAAAGGCTTTTTCCAGAATTTCTGAAGAATTCTTAAGTTTTTCATTCATTTGTGTGTAAACAGAAGAATTACATATCAGGCTCAGAAAAAAATCCTTCCACCGTAAGCAAATAAGTCCTCAGATGGACTGCTGTGGCCTGCTTCAGCCACTACATCATTTAAAATTGGAGAGATGACAAAAATGAGAAAGACCCCAGTAGTAGACATTATGTGGATGGGGAAATGGAAAAAATTATCTCAAGGAGGAGAAGACTGGAGGAAGATATGACAACAGCCTCCAGCTACATAAAAGATGGTGAAAAGAAGAGAATAACCTCTTATCCACATCCACTGGGAGCAGCCTGCAAGTTGCTGTAAGAGAATTTTAAGCTAAGTAGGAAAAAAAGTATTTTTAGGGGTAAATAAACTAGCAGAAGTAAATGGCATCTCTGGCCCTGAGGGCTTTTAAGAACAGTTAATCATACATTTACGAGGAACAGTTCAGATCTAGGAAGTCTGATGATGCTTGCCCTTAGAGTGAGGGCTACCTTGCTTATGCCCACATGGCCTGTCCAGTCCTCTTTGTATGGTTAAGTTCCAAGTGTGGCTTGCCATACCTTGCAAACCATTTCCAATCCAGTCACATAGGGTCCCTTTATAAATGCAGAGAGACTAAGTACTTTCAGAACAGAATTCATCTGACCTGTTTTAGACATCTTCTCGAGGAGATGATGAATCATGCCCCAGAGCTGTCTGTTCTTGCCACCAACACCGGGGCTGGTTTAAATGACCAACATGTCATTGTACAATTTCCAGTGCAGTGGTGCCTCTGTCCCTGAGATCTTTCACTTCCTCTCTGCTCCCGAGAGTCAGGAGCCCTTTTTATTTGTTCCTTTTATTTTATTGGAAGCTCCCATTGAGATTAGTAAATTCTGTAAATAAAATTTTCTTAAGTTACATCATTCAACACTGAGACATATAGCACATTGATCTTTTGGGTGGCATTGCTCCAGAACAGACTGAGGAGAGGAATTAAATTTACCTATTGGAGCTGAAGACCATTGGCTCAGCCATTGGGAAGAGCATGTTCCATGGAAATTGTCTGAAAACTACTCAGGTCAGAAACCACTCAACTCGTATGTCACACACTATTTATATTTCCTCGGCCTTTCTGGTAATGACAGCATTACCAGCAACATGAAAATCCTGGTGCCTTTGTGCCTAAGAAAAATGTATGACACCAGCAGGCTTTAGTGTGCACAGAGGAGTCACTGCACAATGACACAATGGACAACGAAGACAGCGAGGTAGGGCTCATCATTTCTGGAGGAGATACAAAATGCCTCCTAATGCTTCATACATGTTAAAGCTCTTGGTTCTTACTTAGCGTGAAAATGTGGGAAAGATTCATTTCTTTAGGACTGGAGATGCTAGCTTACAGAGAGAAGCTGTATGTCATTCTTTCTGTTTCACACACATGGTCTTGGTCATTTTTTGTCTTTCTTCCTCCCAAGTCAATGTAACAGTAATTTTTCTCCTTTTATTTTTCCTCTGTGATTTTTTTTCAAGCTTCACCCTCTCACTGCAGACCTATTATGTGTGATGTGTTCAGTCCCTAATTTCCATGCAGGGGCACTTCTACTTTGCCCATTAAGTAACAAAACTCTTCAAACGAAAAGAGAGAAAAGTACCAAATTCTCCAGATTCTTTCACTAATTCTCCAAAACAATTGATTTCCTTATGACTGTAATCCTTATTTTCTCTTCATCTCTTGTGCCCAGCTGTGATGATTTCTGATCTTAGCTCTGTGAACTGACATCCTCAGGATAAGGGCATTGGGGCAGCCTCTTCTTGTCACAGCAGAGTCACAGATCCACATGCTTGCACAATGCTCATCCTGCCCTCCTTGCTCTGGGCTGCTCTGTCTGGTGGTTCCTTCATTACTGCATTAACATCACATGAAGGCAGCCCTAATTTTCACAATTTATCCTAATTCCATGTGGGGGAATGTTGGATATGGCCTCTTTTCCAGGCAGGGTGTGGACCAGACAGTGTCCTAACTCAGTTGTTACTGCTATGTCCTTCAAGTTTATGAGAGTATTGCATGATTCATACCATTTACTACTTGGGGATTTTGGGGCCTGGCTCGCAGCACAGGCAATGGGTAGAAACAGTCACAGCTCCAAAGCCAAGTAATTGAAGGAGTGGCTGAAAACAGCCCTGAGAATCAGAAGGAACTGGAGATCTGGAACTCTTTCCTAACTAGCTCAGACACCTTCCAGGATCTTGACACACCGTGTGGCAAAGAACAATTTCTCTCTCAGGAACATCTGGCCTGATGTTCCTATGGGTCTGTCAGGTGCCAGGCACATTTACAGACCAGCACAATGCCTTAGTGCAACAAAGGCTTCTCCTTCCTT